CGCGCCCTCTAGTCAGCGCCCGCCACTCGGCCGCGCGCGCCCAGTGTCCGAGAGCCCGGTGTACACGAAAATGAACTTTATTGTCGACGACATAACGTGTGTTATTGTATATTTGAACCTGCCACTCCAGCGGCGCGCACTCAATGCAACTGTATGACACGCGGACACACACACACACCCTCACACACACACACACACACACTACGCCAGCACTACACAAACATTCGTCAAATGGAAGTATAGAATATTGTTGTCTGGTTAATCCCATACCTTGTATTGTATTCTGTTCATTAAAGTTGTATGTCATTTGTCTTCGAGCAATGTACACAGAATACAATTAGTGTGAAGTGTCCATCAAAGATGGAGCTTAAAAAATGCTTGCAGACTGGCGTCGTGTGGCGGGTGTGGCGTGCCCGTGTGGCCGCGTGTCAACTGATGAATTAATAGAATATAATGTGTAATGTACTCGTAATCAACTCGATTGTAATAAATTAACTTGCCGTAACAAACAACTCGTTTTATTTCCTGTCTCCCACTATCTGTTACCATGAAACATGAAACAAACATGAGAAAAAAAGTGTCATTGAGTTTTTTTTTTATTCACCGCTGGACAAAGATAGGTAAGTATTGATTTTGTACCAGTTGATGTCATGTGGTGTGAATTCATGAAACGAATAGAAGACGCGGTTATTACCCGTGTCATCAATAATTACCTTTTTTAAAGGGGAAAAAACATCGAATGACTTATCCCGCCCGGATGAGGCGGGAGGGAGTGTCAGACTCTTACTGACTAAAAACCACCCCGTTCCTTCTCCTGCCCTTCGAGCCGGGACCCCGGCAACCCGGCATTACCATATTGCCAAATTAGCGTTCTGGACACAACGATGATTATCGTTTTTGTGCTCAACAGATGGCACTAACGTAGCGTGAATTTATTCAGTCATAAAATATTTCGATAAGGATGATCGAGTACCTACTCGTTCTGAGTTGGGTGCCTCTTGTAGATTTGAAGATCAAATTTATAGTAACTTACACTGCGATCAAAAGGAGTGGAAAATAAATAACTAAGACGGCACCACTGACCTGACTAATCATTGCATGCGACATTTATCGACTTTACTGTTGGCACTACGACAACCGGTTGCGGGTTCGAGTCCTGTACGAAACATTTTATTTGTGCGATCCATAAATCGTTGTTTAGGGTCTAGTTGTGTATTAGAATTGTATGTTTGTTAACGCACCCACGACACGGAAGAAAGTCTTAAGTGTGGGGTAAGGGCAACGTTTTTATAGACCGGAATATTATATTTAGGTAAGTATCTGTTTACGAGAGGTTCCAAAGGGAATATTATTGCTTCGGGCCGATACAGACTACACAGACGTTTTTGTGGTTCCTGTTGAAAAAAAAATGTAATATATCGAAAGAATCAAGACCGTTAAACAGAGTGACCATCTATACTGACATTATTGGCCATTCAAGTTTATTAATTTACACTCATACATCCATGGACGTATTATAACTCATACATCTAATACGTTTGGCATTTCGACTGTAAAAGACATGATTTTTCATTGTTTATAAATGAAAAATCCTCTTTCCAGTGTAATCTATGAGTTCAGTGTGCAAGAAAATATTTATTGTTTTATTGAATGTAAGATTTTAACTTTAAGAAATTGTAAAACTTAACTTTGCATGCCGAAAACAGTAGGCGATGTATGTGGGACTATTTTTTATAATTATTACTACCTGTACTTACCATACTTCGTGCAAATAAACGTTCTTATTCTTATTCTTGTATTTAAGTATTTTTTATTACGCCATGGCTATTTAGAAAAGGATAGGGAAAACAATTTTATAAAATAAGTTACTGTTCTATAATTAAGTTCTGTAATTTAGGTTATAATATTTGGAAATACAAAGGTAAAACAAGTTATGTTTTAAACTCAAATATACTAAAATAAGTTTTACAAATTTTTGTAACGCTAATTTCTACATGAATTGTGAGTCTAAAAGCCTGATTCTTAGAATTTGATACACAAATTGTCATTTTTGACGTTTAGTTAGATATTGGCAACTGGCTGGCAACACTGCTTCTGTTCTTTCTTTCGCTTGTCATATCCGTGGCTAGTGTGCATTGTACGTAAATTTTACAATAAATTATTATAAAATAGTGATATTTCACGAATATTCAGCTTGTGGTCACGTAACCGTTTGTGTTTCAGACATACAACATGCAGAACGACGCTGGAGAATTCGTTGACTTGTACTGCCCGAGGAAATGGTGAGTGTGGTTTGAGGTTATTTTACTTTGTTGACCACATTGCACGTTGCGCGGTGTGCGATACATTAACTATGTGGAATTTTCAACGTTTGTAGCGTAATGTTGCTGTTTTTTACGCGTAACGTGTTCGTATGATCACGTAAGTGTAAAATAGTAAATAAGTAACATTTTTTTTTATTGTTTAACTGTATAATGTTTTGGCTTGTGCTGTAAAATTATACATGTGCTTATAAATAAATAAATAAATAAATTATTGCGTAGGTAGAAACTCAGCCGAAGTTAATGTGAAGAAGCTGCATAATAATTGATACTCATGGTAGCACATACAGAGAACATTTGTCCTTGTCCTTGCAGTGTGAATGATTTTGTTGTGAGTCTTTGAAATCAATAAGCCTAAGTACTGACATTCACTGGCTATAATTGCTTAGAAGTATAATGTTTGTTGACATGCCAATTGCCATTGAGTAAAGCTTTACTCAATAGTGTCACTTACTTTGACTTATAAAAATATTGTGGATTTTTTTATTTATTAAACTGTCAAACACCAAGCGGTCACCGGTGACCGCAACCTATTGTTCTATAATTGTGTCTACAAAACCGGTACTCGACGAGTTAAATCATAAATAAAGTAAAGTTTCTGTCTGCTTCAGCAACATTTGAGCTAGTAACCCCAACTACCATACAACAGACTACTATCTAACGTATGCACAGAGCTTGCTCATACATAGTCTTTGGAACCTACTGCTAACAATTTTTAATTAATTAATTTGTAATTAACATAAAAGTTGTATAATACTTTCAGCTATAGTTTACCTAAATAACAAATGATACTTCCAATGCATCTCTCGGCAACCTCCCTTCCAAGCATTTCATGGAATAAGGTGGAGTGGAAGTAAACATGATGACTTGTATCATTCCAGCTCGGCCAGCAACCGTCTGATCCACGCCAAGGACCACGCGTCCGTGCAGCTGGTGATCGCGGACGTTGACCCCGCCACCGGCCGCGCCGCCGACACTTCCAAGATGTACGTCGTGTGCGGAGCCATCCGCCGCATGGGCGAGTCCGACGACTGCATCGTCCGGCTCACCAAGAAGGACGGCATACTGGCTAAGTAAGTCTAGCTACTGTAGCACTACTTGTACTATTTGTAACTTTATATTTATGAATTGGAATGTTTCATTTATTGAAAGAAATCCAATATGTTCAGGACTACCCATATCGTTCATCATTAATTTACATCTTTGTTTAGTTAATGTTAGAGAATAAGTTCATGAATACACAGTTGCCCTTGAGATGTCAGCAGTCAACACCGTGTTGAGTTATCTAGTATGAAACATAAGTTCCTAATTGCTGAAGTTTTAAGTTTTACTTTTATAATATGTAGTTGCCATCCCGCTAATATTGATAGTCTCTCAACAGTTTCTGTTTGTCAAACTAAATGGAGCAATGTCAATGTGAGTGCGAACATCTGACTGATCAACACTTGTTGATATGTTCCTTGTACTGGTAGTACAGTTCTGGCAGCGCTCCTACATGGACAAGTGTGTGTGTGTATTGTGTACTGTGATCCAACTCATATTTATGTTTGTTTGTTTCAGGAACTACTGAAGTAATATCTTAGTCAGTAAGGATCTAATTTTAAGGGCAATAAAAATACTTTAAAAATTTTCCTTCTTTTTATTTGATATATTTTATAGAGTAAATATAAAGCTAATATTAAAAATATCACGAGTCAACAATGTGAGCGCTTGTAGCAGCACTCGGACGCACTCTGCGCACCTCCGGCCGGCAGTGGTCACTTAGTGAGGAGTCTGTCAACAACAGAACTGTTCTAAAGTACTAACATTACTATAAATACGCCCTTTGATGAACAATGGCCTCTCTCTGACATTCTCGGCTTGTATAGTGGATAGTTTGTAGATACAGTACCAATTTGGGGTTGCTAAAACGCATGCAGTGCACGTTTTTAAATGCAAGTCCCGAATATTACAGGCGGACCTTTATTGATATTATGGCACACCATTCCAGACTTCGTATAACTACTGAATTTTGAGAAACAAATAATATTGCCTAACCTGGGAAATTGATCAACTCGAGATATTTGCTTGGAATGGGAATCTCATCTACTAATAACTAGTATGTGTGTGTCACACTTACATGTAAGATCCTCACTGTGTCGGTGTGTGTGGTTCCTTGTCCACGTGTACAGGAACACCCTGGAACGTGACGCGCCGCGTTACACGCACACCCCACACAACATTACGAGCGCGTCCACTCTACCGATAGTCTGGTGAGGTCATATCAGCCGTCAGCCCGTAACACATCCACTGCTGTCTGCTGATCGTGACCATTGAAGTGACTTTGTAGTGAGTGAGATAACTATATTATTCAGTGAGTCGACCGACACCTCAACTCTCCTCGGTCTCCAAAATAAAATTAGTTAATCATTTATTTGCTCTAACCCCGGACCCAATAGGGCTGATGCCGATTCGGAGTCGCGGAGAACCTAACGGGTTACCGGGGCTCCGGCTCGGAGAAGCAGGAGTAGTTTGTGGTTTTTAGTCAGTAAGAGTCTGACACTCGTTCCCGCGTCACCCGGGCGGGAGCAGTCATTCGATGAAGATCATCCCCTTAAAAAACCCGGCTACTCGTGACGTCAGATGTCACCTTATTATGTCGAAACACGTGGTTGGTTTAACTGCAGTCTTTTGAATAAAATACTTGACAAACGTGACGCAGTCCGGCGATGTCGTATGATACTATGATGGTACCTCGTGGTTGCTCAGCGCTTGCCGCGGCCGCCGCAGCCGGGCCGGCCGCCGGGCGGCGGGCGACAGACTGTCTTCTTCTTGCAGCCGCGCGCGCCCACCGCGCTCAGCGCCACGCACAGCGCCCACCACCACAGCGACACGGCCCACTCGTACCACTACACACATACGGGCGCTCCATGGCAGCTCGACAAATTATATATTTCTTGATGATAGTAAAACTAAACACAACACTACTTACCTACTGCGAATATGTAATAATATTTTCTCATAGTATCCGATATTGAGCTGTAAGTAGGTATCTACATCGCAAAAACATAGGAAAATTTAAATATCGCGGCTACCGTGGGTCGTTTACCTTCTAAGCAAATATTACTTAATTCTAGATATCTCACCGTACAACTGGTGTGTACAACTGGTGAAGTCTTATAGAAGTGTCTCGCACAATGTGCATATTGCCAGGCAAAGATACAAGAATCTGATGAGTAGACAGACTGCTTCGTCTGTAAACCCGGTGTTGGCAAGTGAATAGTTTCCCAATGGTACCGGTACAGGGAGAGTGACTCACCATTACTCGGTCTGATCACCAGTACTTGGGCTTGCAGCCGCCGGGACAGCGCGGTGGCCGGCACGACGTCTTCTTCTTGCACGCTAGAGCGCTGACCACCTGCGACACCAGCGCCCTCTTTGTATTACGTACACACACCTCCCTCACAGAGCTTATTAGCTGAGCCTCAGTCCAACTTTAGAAATATGTAAGTACATTCATTCGGTACTAAGGTGTGGTGCACAAAGTTTTGAAACTCGTTATTTAATTCCTTTGAGGAGTTGGAGTGGGAGTGGGCTTTATCATGCTCACGAATCGCAACTCGCGAGCAACTGTGTTCGCCACGTAATCGCTACGCACTCGCAGCGTACCGTGTTCGTTGCACGCCTGCTTCGCTTTGAAATCGTGATGCTTGCTAAATAAATGAGATCTAATAACGTTTAAAAGTATGTAGTTTCGGCTTGGCACTGAATTTATTCGGGGCGTGAATGAAAGAAACGTTCATTACCGGTGTGGCGGTGTACTAATCACTGAGTGATTATGTCACACACGCCTTTGACTGGACGAGAGCACTATGTAGGTATGTAAGATATTTTATAAAATTGAGACAAAGTAAGGGGGAAGGAAACGAAGTAAGTAATATTCCAATGTAATTTCTGATTGTTGAGTTTGTAATTTAGGCACAACACTATGGGAGAGACAACGTATGTACATCGCGCGACTGCAGCGTACTGGACGTGTTTACACGATGACAAGTAGTGAGCGATGACAGAAATCTACTCAGTAGATAAGTAGACAGTGGATTCAGACTTAAATAAATAACAGCATAATGTACGGTCAATAAAGATCATTTTAAAAACGCGTGCCCTGTACTATCGGACGCCAAGTCACTAGCTGAGATACACTCGAGTTTGCAACAACTGCTCCACCGAGGATACACACGTTACCAGCACACTTCGCGTACGTTGCGCGGGCGACGTGACCTGACAATGAGAACTGATGGTAACGCAGCGAGCAGGTCGCGTGGACCTGGCGGTGGCGCGCCATCACCTGTATCAGTAGACAGAGCAGCCACCAGATGCCAGCGCTGAACTTATTCATATTTGTGAGGTTCTCGCAGTCTTGGGCCGGGCAGCTCACGACATCGTGTCCACTATTGCACTTATATTTTAGATCTTTATTTTCACATGTAATTTTGATTCTGTCATGGCCAAAGTTTTCTTTTGTTCTGTTCTGTCATCGATTTAGTTTTCAGTGCAGGAAGGTTTTCAGCCAGAGCCCGCGTGACACTTCTGTCAGCAGTGGCAGAACTCTGTGCAGAGCAGGTGTTGTCTGTGGCTACCTGCTGTAGTGTCTCTGTACGACTACAACATTGTGTGTACATTACTGGTTACTGAACAAAGAAGAAGACCTCTGTTAAAAACATTAAAATCAATCAAATAATTTGCGTCAAGGGGCTTATGGGGGGAGGGGGGCATTGATAGTACAAGTCAACAGGCACCATCAACTATATGGCGCCTGTCTCGCCTCCACCCATTCGGACGATTGAGATATTGTCTTCCTGCGAGCGTGAGTGACGCAATTAATGTAATCGTTGTATCAGGTCACAGCGAGGTCGTCTTTCTATAAACGCACTGCTGTTCCCGCGTGCAGTGGGTTGTACAAAGACGCATACGTTACGGGCGTGAGACGACCACGCCGTGACTACGTCAACAACGCGCCACAGTCGCGTGGCGTATATGACACCTTGCCTTGCGCGTCGTACCTAAATCTTGTTGTGTGTCCGTGACGACCTCGCTGCGCAACCCCGGGCTCATCACGACGCATTATTTGCTGCGCGCTAGTGAGAAGGCCATCGATAGTTTAATAATTTACCATAGTATGCCTAGTCACCCGGCACCTATATCCCTCCCCAGGCAGACCACTACTCCTGTATGGTACTAACTGCATCCTTAGTAGGTGCTCACGTCGTCACATCCAAGTCACATATTCTGACCTGCCTACATAAATAGTTACAAACAACTGAGAACATTCAATGTCTTCTCCCGCCTTGGGTGGGGCGAGAGGGAGTGTCAGACTCTACCTAGCCAAAAACCTCCTCCTAATCCTGCCACTCCTGCTTCGAGCCGGAGCCCGGTAACCCATTAAGTTGTCCGCAGCTCCGATTCGTATTCGTACAGCTGTGGGCTCATATCATGTCGTAATAAAATAAAGAAGTTACTTCAAAAGTAAGATATATTTGTAAGAATAAAATTATATTCGAAGGTAGTAGTAGCAGACACTAGCCGCTAGGCGGTGTCGGGGTAGCAGAAGAGCTGCGCGGCGAGGAAGTTGGTGAGCGCGCGCCAGTAGCCGCGGCACAGCGCGCACAGCGTGGCGCGCCCCCCGCCCGCGGCCCCCTCGCCCCCTGCATCTTCACGTAGTTTATGCCCGTCCGCCGCCGCGCCGCGCCGCGCGCCCTCCACCGAGCGCGCGCGGCGCATCGTCGCAGGCAGCGCTTGCAGCCGCTTCGCTTGCGAGTACAACTGGTCCAGCAATACACCATTTATTCGCCACCACACGACAACAAACAGAAAATAATAATCATAAAAAGAAAATGGATCCTTATTACGCCCATCTAATTATTATGTTGAGCGCGAAAACATTCGACGCAAACTTTAGGATACGCGACCCTGCACATAGTGATATATTGCTCCTTGTGCTCGCGTCCTCCGAACTCCATGCATTGCACTGTGCAGTGTGTTGTATAGCGGGCACAGAGTCGGACTCACGTGTACGGGGTCCTCCAGGTCGAAGCCGCAGCGAGGGTCCCCGCCGCTGGAGCCCGAGCCGCCGCGACTCTCCCACTGCGCCACACTACACACATAATACACGCTTCAGGAAATAGAAGGCCAGTAAATTAACACAAACTTATAAATTCCATAAAAATATGTTATATTGAAGGATACAGGTTTATGTAGGCTATGTCTAACTGTGAGTGTATGTGCGTGTTTGTATGAGGTACCTGTCGATCACGAAGTCGTGTCGCGGCAGGACGTCGAGCGCGCACGGGTTGTTGATGCGCAGACTGGCCGCGGCCGGGGCCCCCGCCGCCCCGCCCTCCGCGCAGCCCGCGCCCGACCCGCCGCGCACCTGTACGCAGTACACACCGTGTTACAGCAACGTGTTGCACTGCCTACGGTCTGCCTGCCAGTGCGGAGTGAGTGCTACCGAGACGGTGTTGTGGTTGACTTGCAGTGTGTTGCGGAGCTCGGGCTCCGTGGCGACCAGCTTGTCGGACACCGACACGCTGCCGGACGAGGGCGCCGGCCGCTGCGGGCCGCGCGCGACCGGGGACCGCGCCCGCGCCGCGAACAGACGGTTCAGCTCGTCCAGCTTGTTCATTATAATCTTGTAGGTCTTGCATTCCTCCGTCTGCAACACTCAACATCATCAGGCGAAGTACGCACTGAGGATAAATACGACTTCTATAAAAACTGTTGAGAAAGCATACACAAACACTCATTGCAAACACGACCTACTTTAACTAAAGTAGGTGTGGTCAGAGATATCCAGGACCACTTGGTCTGCTCGGTAGATCCTCCATAAATATTAGTATCGTAACTGAAACTAGGAAACCTCATTTCTTTTTATCTAAATGCAGTTAGTATAGTGTGTGCACACTCACACACACACGAGCGTGTGTCGAGTGTTACCCGGTGCTTGTCCTTGCGGCGCTGGTCGCGCGTGCTGCGGCTGCTGGAGCTGACGTCACTAGTGTCGGGCGACGCAGAGTGCAGCGAGTGATCCGAGCGCCGGCGCGGGGCGGCCGGGGGGACGGGGCC